TCGTCGCCTCCGTCGCCGTTCTGCCTCCATCCGTCAGCAGCGTCAGTCACCAGCGACAAGCATCATTAACTCACAGGCAGGACGGGACATATGTGTGTGTGCGGGACATCTCCGGCCTGGCTTTACGCATATACATATATATATATATTATATAGTAGATAATGATATTATATAATAGACACAGACAGAAGAAGAGAGAGAGAGATAAAGAGAGATAGACATATGACACACTGCATACACACACACACACACACACACACACACACACACACACACACGTACACACAACACACACCACAAGATACACGCACACGTACACAACACATTTTCATTATCATCATCACTATCTTCAGTGTTATTATTAATATCATAATTATCATCATTATTATTTATATAACTGTTATCATCATCATCATCATTTCTTCTATTAATATCATCATCGTTACTATTATTTGTTTATTACTATTATCATTATCATTATTATCATCATTATCTTTATTCGTTTCATCATAATCATCATAATCATCATTATTACTACTATCATTATCATTATCCTTATTATCATAAATAGTAATACTCTGATTTTTATAACCATTACTACTATTACTACAACTAATCTTATAACTTTTGCTAATAAAACATTTCATTCATAGAAATATATATTATACTTTTTATCAAATATGCCAAAGAGCCTACAAGGGATAGAAGATTCAGAATCAAATCCTTTTAATCTGAACGGATTTTGTTGTGAAATCTAACAGGATAATTATTTTTATTTGAATTCTTATTCCCATTCTTATTCTTAGTTTATTGCAATGACTGGTAAAGTTCTTAATAGCATTTATTGATTTTGGTGATTGCTTACTGGTATTTATATCTGTAAAACTTATCGGTGATAAGGATAGTAGCACTAATGATGGTAATTTTGAAGGTGACGGTAATAACACTAATACTAATACAAAATAATAAAAAGTAGGATACTAATAAAGACGGTAATTATTAGGAATTGATAAAACGAAAGTGAAATACTTGTTATCAACATTTCTATCATTTCATTGAGATCTTAATCAATGTCATCTGATCATTAGCATCATTATTTGAGTCATCATAATCATATATCACCAAAATCACCATAACCAACGTATTCATAAAAAGTTACAAACCCCTTAACTAAAATAATATGCAGATCGCATAACTTCAAACTTCATTTCGAATAATGTTAAAGTCTACCCTAAAAATAAAAGGACAACTTACGTTTTCTTTCCGCAGATTTTCCGACTTCTCCAGTATCGACATTCGGTCCAAAATTCAGTGTTGCTGTTCGGGATTTCCTCCACTACGCACGCATTGGGCCTGAAATGTGGGGGGAAAAAAGTTATAATTAGCGTTTTTTTATAGTCAGGGATTGGTAAAATGGGAAATATTGAAGAAAAGGGAAATAAATTATACTGTTACTTTAATTGCTGCTAATTGCTGGCTGCGTGTCTGGGCATTAAGTTCTTTATGAGCTTAATGTTTAGTATATATTTTGTATACAGCATATACAAACAGAAAGATATAATATATATATATATATATATATATATATATATATATATATATATATATATATATATATACATATATATCATACTTTATATTTATATATATATTGATATATAGATAATAAACATGTATATATATATATATATATATATATATATACATACATATATATATATATATATATATATATATATATATATATATATATATATATATATATATATAATACACAACACACACACACACACACACATATATATATATGTATACAGTATATATATATATATATATATATATATATATATATATATATATATAATATATATATATATATTATATATATATATATATATATATTATTATAATGTATATATATATATATATATATATATATATATATATATATATATATCACTTATTATAATCAATCTGCAAAAGCGAAACGGTACATGAAAATCGACGGAATGCACCGCGGAAATTGGCTTCCATTTCGCCGTCTCAGAGAACAACTCACCTGTAGGTCGTTGTGACGTCACGAGTAAACATTGTCACTCGCCCCCCCTCCACTTCCTCTAAAAATGCACTGTAATTTGATGTATTTTCTATTTCACTTTGCATTACGCCATACCAAAATGCGTATTTATCAAATGTATATCCCTTAAATGTGCGAGGCATTTGTATACCATTCTGTACATACGTTTTGTTTTGAGAAATATTTTAGCCTATCCTTTGCGCGCGTGGAGCCATCTACCGGCAAATTTAACAGTTCCATTGCCACAGTGCTTTTTGCTTGTTTTGAAAGTTTTGTTTACAATGCTACTTGTGTTGAAGTGTTATTTGCGGACATGATATTACTTGTGGGAGGATATAGCTTTATCTTTTCTGTATTTCTTTATCTGAGTGTGTGTGTGTGCCTACCTGTCTGTCTATCTATTTATCTATCCATCTGTCCACCTATCTATCGACACACACAGACACGCACACTCGCATGCTCTCTCTCACACACACACACAAACACAAAACCACACACACACACACACAAAACCACAAACACAAACAACTACACACCACAACACAAACACAAACACAAACACAAACACAAACCAACACACACACACATAAACACAAACACAAAACCACAAACCACACACACACAAACACACAAAACCACAAACACAACACACCACCCTCCCTCCTCCCCTTCTTCCCCTCCCCCCCCTCCCCCTCCCTCCACCATCCCGGGACAAAACCAGGTCAGGGCGGCAGCTGGCGACCGGCGCCTCTCGTCTGCTTTAGCACTTAGCCGAGGACCCCCACTTTGCCAGGGCTGGAGGGGAATCGCCGGGGGGGGGGGGGGGGGGGGGGGGAGGATGGATAGGAGGGAAGGCTGAGGGATGGAGGCATGGAGGGAAGGCTGAGGATGGATAGGAGGGAAGGCGGACAATAAAAGAGGGGCGCGAGACGGATTTGGCGAGACGCGAGGAAATGGGAGGAAGGGATAGTGTGTGCAGGCATCCATGCTGCTTTTATATACGTGTGTGTGTTTGTTTGTATGTATGTATATGTGTGTGTGTGTTTGTTTGTAATGTATGTGTGTGTGTGTGTTTGTTGTGTATGTATATGTGTGTGTGTGTGTTTGTTTGTATGTATGTATATGTGTGTGGGTGTTTGTGTGCGTATATATATGTACATACACAACGTGCGTGCATGTATGCATATATATATATTATATATATATATATATATGTATTTAGCCAACACACACGCGTATTATATAAGGATCTATATATAATTGTACGTTTGTATGCACATAGGCCTATTTATACATCTATCTCCCTCTGTCCAGTTACATCTATCTATCGATTTACCTACTATCTATTTACCTACTTATTCATCCATCTATCGATCCCACCCTGTCCCTTCCATCTTTTATCTATCGGAGTCACCAGTCGACCTGACGCAGGTGCTGTGACCTCGACAGGGCGGTCAGAGGGTCATTCTCTCCGCTAAAAGAACGTCGGGATTTTGTCGACGAAAGGGCTCGACCCCCCCCCCCCCTCCTGGCGTGACCTTTGGTCTTGGTTGACACTTGGGAATCGTCTCTTTTTCTCCATATCTTTTTTTTTTTTTTTTTTTTTTTTTTAGTTGCTTTTTTTTTCTTGTGTTTTTTTTTGCATCTTGTTCTTTTTTTTCTTGTTTTTCTTTTTTTCGTTTCTTGTCTTGTTTTCTTTTTTTCTTGCTCTTGTTTTTCTTCTTATTTTCCTTTTTTCTTGTTCCATTTCTGCTTGATCTCCTTATTTTTTTCTTTTTTTTTTTTTCTTCTTTTTCTTTTTCTTCTTTTATATTTTTTCATCTTATTCTTCGTATTTTCCTTTTCTTGTCTTTTTTCATCATGTTCTTATTTTCCTTTTATTCCTGTTTTTTACTTTTCTTCTTGTTCTTTTTCTTTTCTTGTTCTTATTCATTTTTTCTTCCTGGTGTTCCTTCGTCTGTTATGTCCTGCTTTTTGTTCCTTTTTTCGTGCCTGTCTTTTTCTTTCAATCTGTACGAGGTATTTATTATTTTCAATAATCGTTATTTTATTTATTATATTATTATTATTACTTATTATATATTATTATTTATTATTATATTATCATTTATTTATTATATATTATTATTATTTATTTGTTATATTATTATCATTTATTCATTATAAGTATTTAATTTATTATTAGTTATTTATTATCATATTTGTTATTATGATGTTATTTATCGCTATTTCGTTTCCATTGGTTTCTGTTCGATAGTTGTGAGAGAGGATATATATGTATGGACATGAGGTCACTATAATGAGGTTTATGTATGCTGCAAATGACAAAAAAAAAAAAAAAAAAAAAAAAAATGCACATCATCGTAAGAAAGAAAAAAAATATTTGGATTACTTTTTCTTTATTCCCCCTTTCTCCCTTCCCTTCCTTTCTCACTTTTTCCCTTCCCTTCTTTTCTCTTCCTCTCACTTTCCCCTGTGTCTCCCCTATTCTTCTTCTCCCTTCTTCCCCTCTTCCATCCTTCCCTCCTCTCTCCCCTATCTCTCCTCCTTTCCCCCCTCCCCTCCCTTCCCTTTCCTCTCCTCCCCCCCCCCCCGGCCCCTAGCCTCCCCTTACCCCCAACCCCCTAGAGGATGCCAAAGGGCGCCCCACATCCCTTCCCTCAACCCCTAAACCCCATTTCCCTCTGTGGGCGGCAAGGGGTGGGCGTCACTCGCGGTGCTACACGCCCATGGAAGGGAGACCCCACTTGGGCTGTCTTATTAGTGACGCTTCGGGTGTTTCTGCTTTTTTATGTCTTTCCTGCTCGCTCTCTGGCTGTTTCTCTTTCTCTCTTTATCTATCTATCTACCTCGGTGTCTGTCTGTCTCTCTGTCTCTCTCTCTCTCTCTCCTCTCTCTCTCTCTCTCTCTCTCTCTCTCTCTCTCTCTCTCTCTCTCTCTCTTCCATTCTCCCTCTCTGCTTCCCCATAACTATTCTCCTTCCGCTTAAAGAAAGAACCGGGCATCGGAGGACATCCAGGACAACACTTGCGATGGCCGAACTCGCTGCCTTGACCTTTGACCCGAGACCCAACCCGAGACGGATCCCGCAAGGAACGTGTCCAAGCAAAGGGGGGGAGGGAGGAGGAGGGAGGGGGAGGGGGGAGGAGGGGAAGGGAGGGGGGAGGGGGAGGGAGGGGGAGGGAGGAGGGAGGGGGGAGGAGGGAGGAGGGGAGGAGGGGAGGAGGGGGAGGAGGGAGGAGGGGGGGAGGGGAGGGGAGGGGGGAGGAGGGGAGTGGGAGGAGGGGAGGGAGGGGAGGAGGGGGGAGGGAGGAGGGGAGGAGGAGGGAGGGAGGGGGGACTTCCACGTTCCCATGTGATCGCAAGGAAGGGTGGCTTCTCAGCTTTTTTTTTTTTTTTTTTTTTTTTTTTTTTTTTTTTTGTTATATGAAAGCGACAGAGAGAAAAACCATACAGATGGCTTCATAGGAGGAGGTTGCGAAAACATACACACACATACGCGCACATGTACATGCACATGCATACGTACACACACACACACAAACAAACACACACGTATATGTATGTATTTACATATACATAAATGTGCGCTTGTGTGTGTGTGAAAAACAGAAAAGGACAAACAAAAAGACAGACAGACGGACGTGGAAAGGAAACAGAGAGAGACAACACCCCCCCCCCCGAGAGAAATAAAACCCGACCACGAAGACGTCAACACGCCGTGGCCTGCAGCTTCCCTCTTCTCTCGTGTTTCCGTTTCTCCTCTCCCCTCATTTCCTCAATTTCTCTCTCTTCCATTCTCTCAGTTTTCTCTCCTCAGTTTCTCTCTCCTCCATTCTCTCCAGTTTTTCTCTCTCCTCATTTTCTCGCTCCTCGCTTCTCTTCCTTAATTCCTTCCTTCCCCGGTCTCCTTCCCTTTCTTCCCTTCTGTCTCCCATTTCTTATATTTTTTCTCTCTTCCCTCCTTCCTTCCGTCCTTTCTTTCTTCATTTTCTTCTGTTTCCTCACTTAATGTCGTTCTTTCTTCCCCCTTTCGCCTTAACTCTCTCCCCTTCCTTATTCTCCTTCCCGGCCCCTTCCCTCTTTCATCTCTTACCTTTCCTTTTTTATTTCCTTTATTATTTCCTTTATTATTTATTATTTACCTATCTTCATTATTTCCCTTATTTTCCCTTCCTTTCCTGTTCTGTTCCATCCTTCCCATTTTATTTCCTTTGGTTTAGCCGTCCTTCTTAACTTCCTTCCTCTCCCTCCCTTTTCCATCTTTTTTTTCTTTACCCTTTTCTTCTCTTCCTTTCACTTCTCTTCTCTCCCTTCCCTTCCTTTCACACTTTTTCCCTTCCCTTCTTTTCTCTTCCTCTCACTTTTCTCCTCTCCTCCCCCTATCCTCTCTTCTCCCTTCTTCCCCTCTTCCATCCTTACCTCCTCTCTTCCTTATCTCTCCTCCTTTCCCCCTCCCCTCCCTTCCCTTTCCTCTCCCCTCCTCCCCTTCCCCTCTCCCCTGCCCTACCCTCCCCACTCCCTCCCTGTTTCCCCTCCCCCTCCTCTCTCTGTTCTCCCTTCCCCCTCCCCCCTCCCCCTCCCTCCCCCTCCCTCTTCCCCTCATCATCATCTCCTGTGTTTGTGTGTTCTGATTCCCATGATGAACGAGCGAGCACCGCCGGTCAGATAAGAGATAGCGGGGAGATGGCGCTGATAACGGGGGGGGGGAGGGCGTTGGTGGCACGAGTGGGGGTGAAAATGAGGGGTTTATGAGGCACACTCTCGCCTCGTGGGCCTTTGTTGTTATCATGAGGCATTATCATTATTGTTTAAATTGGTTTTATTATGGTTGTTGCTATCACCATTATTAGAGTTATTGCCACTGTTATCATTATCGTTAATATTATCATCATTACTGTTGATATCTTCATCATCATCATCGTCGTCGTCATCATCATCATCATCATCATCATCATCATCATCATCATCATCATCATCATCATCATCATCATCATCATCATCGTCATCACCATAACCATCATCAGTGCTATTATCATTATTGGTATTATACTTTCATCATTATTTATCTATCTATCAATTTATCTTTGGCAATTGTGGTACTTTAAGATAAAGATTAAGGTAATGCACTGCATATTAAATGTAATTTATAATCAGTGTTGGATTACAGTGATATAAAGAGAAAAAGAGAGACCTATGTAAACAATTAAAAAAGGGATATGTTGAAGACATGAACAAGAAAAGAAAGAAAAAATGAAAGAAAAGGAGAAAGAAAGAGAAAATAGCATAGTAGCTTAAGGAGCCATAGAAAAGAGACTGAGAGAGAGAGAGAGAGAGAGAGAGAGAGAGAGAGAGAGAGAGAGAGAGAGAGAGAGAGAGAGAGAGAGAGAGAGAGAGAGAGAGAGAGAGAGAGAGAGAGATCGAAGGGGAGAGAGAAAGTGAGAGTGTGTAAGAGATGGAAAGAATAAGAAAAAGGAATAATAATAATAATAATAATGATAATAATATAATAATAGATAGAGAGAGAGAGAGAGAGAGAGAGAGAGAGAGAGAAGAGAGAGAGAGAGAGAGAGAGAGAGAGAGAGAGAGAGAGAGAGAAAAGTGAGAAAAAAAATGAGGGAGAGAGAAAAAAAATCACGAGACAGAACAAACGAGATAGAGAAAGAAAGAAAGAGGAAAAAGCGAACAAAAAAGACAATGAAAAAATAGCATAACAGCTTCAGGATCCGAGCATAGTTTTACGACCGAGCTAAATCTGCGACGGGCGGTTAAACTCCAGCTGATTGGCTCGATGGCTTTCACGCCGCGGCCACGAGCGCAAAACTTTCTCGGAGACAGTCTGTCTACCTCGTAAATAAAGTAAATAGATAGATAGATGAATGAAAAAGACAAGTAAATAAAGCCGCTTGAGGGAACATAAGAATAAAGATCATGTTTTATGTATTGTTTTTTGATTTATATATATTTTTCTTTTTCTCGCGATGAACGACTCGAGTAAGCGAGGGGAGTACGAGCGTAAAATTTATAAATATAATAATAAGCATACAAACAGATATATATTTGTTTATTCACTATTTATTTGTGTTTTGTTTTTGTTTTAATTATCATATTATTGATTTATTATCAAATCAGTCTTAAATAACGTTGGTTTTACAGCAAATACACCACAGGCATGTTTATGAAACCACGAGCCTAAAATTAAATGATAGTGCTCAGCTAAGGAATTAAATAAACAAATAGATGAATATCAAATGAAAGAAATTCATCAAAATAAATCTCGGATTAAATAGGAAAAAAAATATCATTATTATTAATGTCATTTTTATTATCATCATTATCATTATCATTATCATCATTATCATTGTCATTAGCGCTTTCGTCATCATTATTGTTATCGTTATTGTTGTTATCATTATTATTTTATTGTTATTGTTATCACTAAAATTATTATTATTGTTGTTGTCATTCTTTTTATTATTATTATTGTTGTTGTTGTTGTTGCTGTTATTGTTATCCTTATCGTTAATTATACAAAGACAGTATCTTTAAAATATATAATCCTACTGGACCCTTTAACACTTTATGATAGTAACAACAACAACAAACAAACAACATAATAATAATAATGATAATAATAATGATATAATAATAATATAATAATAATAATAATAATAATAATAATAATTATAATAATAAAATGATAATATAATAATATAATAATAATAATAATAATAATAATAATAATATAATAATAATAATAATGATAATAATAATAATAATAATAAAATAATAATAATAATATGATAATGATAATGATATAATAATAACAAAACATCTCCAGGAACCATTTATCCGACTTTCCGTTTGTGGGTCAAGCATTCTCGGCGCGAGAGTCCAGTAGATCCTCGCATATTCAACTCATTAACATTTTACGACTTGAGAATGGGAGATAAGATCTGCGGCGCGGGAGGAGAAGAAGACCTGTTTGTGGAAGGAGAGTTATGGCGACGGAGGAGGAGCCACGAAGCGCACAGGCAGAAGGAAAGGAAAGGAAAGTAATATTTATGATTATGTATAATGTATATGTATATATATTATGTATGTATATATATATATATATGTATTGTATATATATATATATATATATATATATATATATATATATATATATATATATATATATATATATATATATATATATATATTATATATATATATGCATATATACATGTATGTTGTTATATATGTTATCTATTTATCTATATATATATAATATATATCTAATATACATATGTGTGTGTTTCTGTTTGTGTGCATCTGTATATATGTGTGTATGTATGAGTGTGTGTGCGTGTCGCCTTCGCCCTCGCGCAGAGCCCAGCGGCCGCGGGCGAGACGCGGTGCCAAGGAGAGCCAAACCGGCGTCGCGCTCCCATTCGGATGCAGGGCAGCGGCACCCTCGCCCGCCGCCGAATGGTCAGTCATTCATGTGCGGGGTGAGTCATTTGGACCCCCCCCCCCTCCTCCTCTTCCTCTCCCCCCTCTCTTTCTCTCTCCTCTCTCTCCTCTCTCCCCCTCTTTCCCCTCTTTCCCTCTTCCCCTCTCTTCTCTTTCCCCACCCTCTCTCTCTCTCTCCCTCCTCTCTTTCCCCCCCCTCTTCTCTCTCTCTTCCTCTCTCCTTTCTCTCTCTCCCCCCCCTCTTCCTCTCTCCTCCTCCTCCTCTCTCTTCCCACCCCCTCTTACCTCACCTCTCTATTCCTCTCTCCCCTCCTTCCCTCACTCTCTTCCCTCTTACCCGCCTATCCCTCTCTCTTTCTCCCACTCCTTCCCCTCATCTCTCCTCCTCTCCTCCCCTCTTTCCCCCCCCTTCTTCCTCTTTCCCTCATCTTTCATCTTCTCCCCTCATCACCCCTTTCTTCCTCT